GCATTAAACCCCAACAAAAACAACATCAACAATAACAAAGAAAACTGAGGGAATTGGTCCATAGACAGCGTACGTATGTAAAGGTGTAAGGGTATATCTGTAAAATTGAATCTACCCTATATACGAGAGTGGCTTAAATGTTACCCTACAGGAATAAACTCACTTCTCCAAACCGAAAGAACGTTTGCTAACCACAGCATGTTTACGCCGTAAAATAGTTATCACCTGATGCAATTCCGAAAATGTGTCTATTATCTACTTTTTATCACATAGCAGGTATGGTTTTCCTATAGTATGTGCAGTTTTATATGTTTGATATTACCACACGTTAAAATATCACTTTATGGGATTCTGGTTGGTTCAAATAAGCCCATGAAATTATTGTGCGGTATATTCTTTACTGATTGGCTGGGATCGTAGGAAAACGTTTTTAACCCCGCCTTCTGGAATGTTTTGATCTGAATGAAAATTTTTGGCGGCCATTTTTGTTGGTGTTGGTGTTTATGATTTTTAACGTAGCTTTTAACAATTTTTTAGTCATATCGTTACGATGTCTGCAGTGTGGCAGTTTATAATGATGTCTAGCACTAGGCATCATGCCACAGACATGTAGAATGATGTCCTACCCAATCACATTATCCTGACACCAGGCCGACCAGTCCTAACACTAACCTCTTAATGCTGAGCGTCAAGCGAGGCAGCTGTTAATACCATTTTTTAAAGTATTTGGTATGACTCGATCGGGGATAGAACCCACACCTCCCGCATTCGGGGCGGACACTCTAACTACTTGGCCACCGGAGCGGTTGGTCTCGACTCGCAAATGGAAATTGAGGAAATATCACATTTGCTGTCTCAACATGGATTTGCTACTCCCACAGGGGTTCATTATGTCATGTTTAACAATATCATCATAAGAAAAATGGCATAAAACTACAAGACAAGAACGACAATAACGAATAAAACTAAGGGATAGCGGGGTGGGTGGAATGGATACGTATATCAGTAACATAGATATATAATCCACCGTATATACAAGCGTGGTTTATATGTTAACTTAAAGAAGTAAATAAACGCACCTCTGTTCGGAGAATAATCTGGACATGAATGAGTCTCCTGATATTTCTTTATCCAACCACAGCATCTTTACGTAGCATATATGGGATGTAGACCAACAAGTAGGTCTCTGCTTTTTTCTGACAGCAGCTGTCAGAAAAAAGCAGAGACCTACTTGTTGGTCTAATATGGAATGTAAATCCGACACAAAAATAAATTTTTTGACGTCTTCTGTACAGTCTATTTTTCAAATCAAACACTGCAAATGTCAGGTCACAAATGCATTGCAGTAAATGTGGGACTTTTTTTTGCATCCGGTAATCATATTACGCATGAAAATCACAACAATGTAACGTTTACATTTTAGGGTACACGTATATTCTACTGTCGGCCTACTGTACTGTATACCGTATCAAACAATGTGGAAGCATCATATCGCATCGATCATTCTGTTTTGAAAAATGATTTTGTAGTTATAAAATGTTCTGTTTATTCGGATGGAAGCTTTTTCTTTGATTTATAATGTGTAAACCGTACAATCTACTTTTACCAATTCAGCTTTGTTTGGGACTATATTTTATGCACAACAAATGAAAGGTACACCGACTGTCAGAAGGAATGAAATTATTCGTTCTTCTATCTATTTAAATAATTTCCACTGAAATAAAAACTATGTCATAAAAAGAATCTCAAATGGGTAACGAATTAATATTAAATTTATGAAACTCGTTGAATAATATCCAGCTTTTGCGAGCCTTAGGAAATAGACCTCTCCGGTGGCCTAGCGTCAGCCTCGGATGCGGAAGGTCGAGGGTTTGAATCCCGGCTGAGACATACCAAAGACTTAAAACATGGTACCAACAGCTGTCTCGCTAGGCGTTCAGCATTAAGAAGTTAGCGTTAGGACAGGTCGGCCTGGCGTCAACATAATGTGATTGGGTGGGACATCATGCTATATGTTTGTGGCATGATTCCCCAGTGCTAGATATCACTATAAACTGCCACACTGCAGACATGGTAGCGATATGACTGAAATATTGATAAAGCTACGTTAAAAATACAAAGCACACACACACACACACACACACACACACACACACACTTTGAAATACATTCGGATACATCTCATTGGAATAAGTGATGATGTCATTTGTGAGATTCGCTTTACATATATGAAAATTTGATACACGTGTCCATATACTAATTAGTATAATAATCATTAGTACGAATTATATCAAAGACCCCAAGAAGTATCATATCAGTACAAAAGTCTATTGCACATTGATACCGATTTATGTCCTACTATGACCTTTATTTCTGAAATTGTCTACGCGTAATGCAGCAGATGATCCCTTTGATTTGTCAGTAGAACAGAAGTCTAACGATTTGGGATAAGCTTTAAGTGACCTATCGTAAAATCGACGACACTGCTCTATGAATTACATACTTGTTACCTTTGGCTACAATGTAATGGTACACTTCACATCCAATCTGTAGGTGGCAAATCTCGTCTCAAGATAAGGATTTCTTCCATTCATAGGAATACCATCAAAGGTTTGAATTCATTTATAGTTTCAAAACCCTTCTATTAGATCTTTGGGCAAAGATGGGACATAATATAACGGTTCGACATCCAACTTCAACTGACCGCCAAAGTGTTTCTGAATTGATTTTGGTTGTTTGGTTGGTTAGTTTTCGACTGCACTTTAAACAAATTACTGGCTATATTGCGTGGGACGGTATCGAACCCGTCACTCTTGGATCACCAACCATACTCACTATCCACTGAACTACCATGGTTTTCATTACAACTGATAACTAATCAATTATATCTATTAGCATAATAACCATCAAGTAGTTAATGTAATTAAACTGATGCAGAACGGAAGAAAGGAACATTTTACCAAATTTGAATAACAGGCAAACAAGTGGATTTTTTTTACAATACTGCATCTACTAGATGCATTATAATTTATTTAATAATTTGTACTGTAAAAGGCAAGTTTCCATACATATGAATGCAACTAAGCGTGGGCGCGCGCGATACACGGTTATGTGAAATAAGATAAGACATTACAGACCACAGGGAATTAGTAGATACCTTGTAATTATAATTGCAATCACATATTCTAGCCGTTCATGAATCTTGACCCTTTAAGCGAGATGACACAATTTCCCCAAGACCACACTCCAGTGCAAAAGTTTACTTCTCCACGCGACGCATTCTTATTATAAATTTGCTTGAACTTTAATAATAATAATAATAATAATAATAATAATAATAATAATAATAATAATAATAATAATAATAATAATAATAAACATAAACAACTGTTTTGTGGTACAAGACTTCATCTGCATGAGAACGCTGATAAATATCTCATTAAACTGTCAATGTCGTCGCCGCCGCCGTCAATGTGAAACATGTCTCGCCATTTCAACGCAGGCAAGGCAATTCAAATGTAACTTATTCCATTACAAAACTAGTCATACTCGCGCGGTGAAATGTTTGAGTGATCTGTAAAGACTTATGAGGCGTCGTAAAGGACAAAAGTTGGTCCAACCAGGACGCTGTCGTTTAAATTTTAATATCTATCATATGTCCAGATTTCCTATTTAATGTATTATATCTGAAATGCTTGTCCTCAAAGTTCCATTTTCTAGGTCGAGATTTTAGAATGTATCTGTTGAATTAAACGGCAGTGGTTGAAAGTTATATTTTATGTGTCGTTTGAATTACACGGCGGTGTTTGAAATTTAAATGTCATTAAGTGGATAATTCCCGATTTACGTATTGATTCAACGAGTTTATGCTGAAAGTTCCGTATCATGTGTTGATTATTTAGATTTCATCAGTTGAATTACACAGCCCGAATTGAAAATTCGATGTCAAATGTCGAGTTTTTAGATTGTAATGTCATGTGTTGAGTTACAATTTAACAGGTTGAATCATATTTATTGTGCTGAAAGTTCCATTTCGTATGTCCAGGTTTTAGATTGTATCTGTTAAATTACACAGTGATGGTTGAACATTTTATAGTGCTTGTCGGAATTGCTACTTTTATATGCTGAAACATGTTGGTGTTAAAAGTAGCATTACACGATATTCACTTTAACAATTGAAAACAATATTGAGTATTATGATACGAGTATTCAATTATGCGGCGCCACTACATTTCATGCATTTACAGTTTGAAATTTACCATTTACAGGTCGAAAATTACTATGAATTTCTAAGCTGTAGATTTCGCTCTCGTGAACGGACCGCGTTATTTTTTAAATAAGGATTATGTTTCCTGTCGCTGTGAGAAATTCAGCAGAAATCTGAATACTCGCCATATGAAATGGATTTGGATTTTTTAAACGTAGCTTTAACAATTTTTCTGTCATATCGGTACGATGTCTGCAGTGTGATAATTTATAGTGATGGGGAATCATTCCGCAAACACGTAGCATGATGTGACATTGATGCCCACCCAGTCACATTATCCTGACACCAGGTCAACCAGTCCTAACACTAACCTCTTAATGCTAAGCGCCAAGCGAAGCAGCTGTTAGTACTACTTTTGTAAGTCTCTTGTATGACTCGACCGGGAATTGAACCCACTACCTCCCAAGGCGGACGCTCTAAACACTAGGCTACCGGAGCGGTCTCCATACGAAATGGAACTTTCATTACAGTTACGTGCAGAGTGTGAATTTATGGATTCTCGACATACGATGTTGACATTTCAACAACCGCTGAGTAATTCAAAATATACAGTCAAACGTCGACATATGAAATTGAAATTTATATCACCACTGTATAATTAACCATGTAAAATCTAAAACCTCGATCTTGAAAATGGAACTTTATGGACATTTAATTTGATTAAACGCATGACACTAAATTTCTCGACACACGACATCGAAATTTCAGCTGCAACTTTCTCATTGGAAGAACCGCTCCGGTGGCTTAGTGGTTAGAGCGCCCGCCTCGGATACGAGAGGTCGTGGGTTCGAACCCCGGTTGAGTCATACCAAATACTTAAAAAAATGGTACTAACAGCTGCCTGGCTTGGCGCTCAGCTCTAAGAGGTTGGCCTAGTGTCAGGATAATGTGACTGGATGGGACATCATGCTACATGTCTGTGGCATGATGCTCCAGTGCTAGACATCACTATAAACTGTCACAATGCAGACATCGTACGTAGCGATATGACTGAAAAATTGTTAAAGCTCCGTTAAAAATCTAAATCACACACACACACACACACACACACACACACACACACACACATTGACCAGCTTTTGTCCGCTACGGCGCCTCATAAAGGCGAAAGCCTTGCACCATTCTCACTACTCGGTTACTAGAGCCCTTTCTGAAATATAACCCAAAGCATTCCATTTGTGTACTCTAATCGCTGAAACTGGGTACATCACAAGTATCAGAAAAATTAACTTGCAGCTTTCAAATTAATTTATTGCTGACATAAAACGTTAAAATTTATTGCTTCTAACAATAATCATATATGTACACATAAATTTGTACATAGACTGGCATGAATTATTAAAATACATTACATCACATACACTTAATAATGAAAATTTATTTCCTAGACAGCATAATAACATAAAACAAAGAAACCCTAAAAGACATTCAATTTTATTTGCTGCTAAGAAAATATTATTTTTTAATGTACTTCTTAGCATGTAGACATTGATTCACACAGTTAAAGGTTTGCCTCAATAAAACTGTTTAAATCAAAGCAATTATTTTGACGATTATGCACAAATTATATCACATATTTGACACATTTCAATATTTTCAGGGGACTGCTGTTGTTGTTACTGGGTTTAACGCCACTCTTCAGCACAAGATATACATGGCGGACAGTATAAATGGTGAAGGAAGAACCCGGGAAAACCCCGGAAAGAACCACCGACCCATGAGAAGTTAATGGCAAGCTTTCTCACGCACCCACATTGGCCAAGCCTGAGACTCGAACCCACGCAGACAGAGGTGAAATGGCAGTGAACCATAACAGTGAGCGTTTAAGATCATTCGGCCACTTGGGGGTCCCCGTTTTTAGAGGATACATTTTGAAAGAGAATACTCCTTGTGAATCTCGGCTCATTAATTTTATGTAACGAGACAATTGATATCTACCCAATTAGTCATCAGAGCATAAAATAGGTGGTGGTGAATGTGTTGGGATTAATGCCCCTTTTTAGAGTATGATGGGCTATACCTGGCAGGGAACTTGTAAAACGGGTGGTTTTAGGCAGAAGATATTGGACCCTCTCTGTAATACTATATAAGAGTCTCTTATATAGTATTACAGAGAGGGTCCAATGTCAGAACGGGTCGCGTCGAGTACCTGTGAAAAGAACTCGACAGTTTTGCATCTGTCTATCCAGATTACAGTGCCTAAATTAGTCTGCATATTAGACACGTGTGAAAAATAGCAAACGAATCTGTAAATGTCACGTGTGTATGTGCATTGACTAAATCTAGTTTTTTCACCAGACGGTGACTAAATCTAGTTTTTTCACCAGACGGTAGACCAACAAGTAGGTCTCTGCTTTTTTCTGCTGTCAGATATTAAAAAAAGCAGAGACCTACTTGTTGGTCTAACCAGACGGATGATTTCTATATGAAACATACAATTAAAAAGTAACAATGCTTTACATAAAAATATTCATATTTATAAATATGAACTGGCCAGTAACACTTGTATATGTGGAGAAAATGAACTCCAGATGTTAATCTGATTCAAATCAGACTGATCCACATTTTTTGTATGTGTGGAGACTTCTGATTCGAATCAAACTGACCCCCATATTTTGTATATACATGGAGACTACTCTGATCTGAATCAAACTGACCCCCATATTTTGTATATACATGGAGACTACTCTGATCTGAATCAAACTGACACACATATTTTGTATATACATGGAGACTACTCTCATTTAAATCAGACTGACCCCAATATTTTGTATATAAATGGAGACTACTCTGATTCGAATCAGACGGACCCCCATATTTTGTACATACATGGAGATTACTCTGATTCGAATCAGACTGACCCACATATTTTGTATATACATGGAGACTACTCTCATTTAAATCAGACTGACACCATTTTGTATATACGTAGGGACCACTCTTGATTCGAACCAGACTGACCCACATGTGAAGACTACTTACTACTGTCACTACTAGGAAAAAAAAAAACAACAAAACTTACTGCAGAACTTTGTAATAAATTGCTAGTATTAAGTAATTTAAACAATTTGGTGTTTTTTTTTTTTTTTGAAAATGTAAAGTACACAATAGATTATACAAGCAGCTTGGATGTTACATAAAAGTATGAAGTGTACACAATAGATCATACAGTATAGGAAGCGTGTATCTGATATTAAAGTACGAAGTACACAACAGATGATATAAGCAGCTTGCATCTGATAAAGTAAGAAATATACAATATATTAAATAAGCAACTTACATCTGATAGAGTATGAAGTATAAAAGAGATCGTCTAAGCAGCATAAATCTGATACTGAAGTATGAAGTGTACAATAAATTACATAAGCAATTAGGATCTGATATCAAAGTATGAAATATACAACAGATCGTATAAACAGCTGGGATCTCAAACTGAGGTATGAAGTCCACAATAAATCGTATAAGCAGTTTGGATCTAACATCAAAATAAACGTCTCAGTTAAGAAAACTGTACTTAATGTTCAAACTCATTCATCTTTACACACTCAGCTCAGATTTACAATCCTAATTACTAATCAAGTTTATGCCAGTAACTTCCTGTGGGTCGGTGATTCTTCCTCGGTTGTTCCTCCGTCAAATATGCCTGCAGACATGAATATCCTATGAAGTTGTGAAAAAATGGCTTTTAAACTCGTAACCCCAACAACTATGGTAGCCAAGTTTGACTGGATATAACAACATTATGTTTAGGTTATAACATTTAAGTGTAGCACAGAGCTTTGTCTTTATGAAAGTGTTACAAAGGAGCAACTTTTTCGGAGTTCCAGAAATATTCAAGTATGGACTAGATGCAGGAATAGCTTCCTATATTCTAGAGAGACTGCCAAATGTAAGTCATGGCTAGATCTGCATTTGTTGTTGTTGTTGGGCTTAACGCCATTTTTCAGCACACGATAGGCTATTCATGGCGGCCAGTATTAATGGTGGAGGAAGAAAGCGGGAAATCACCGGAAAGAACCACCGACCCAGATCTGCATTTGTGAAGCGTTTACAAACATCAAACTAACAATCTAAACAGCAAACTATGATACTCTGGGAACATTTCAATCCATGATATGCTGACCAATTTACGGACACACTGACCCAAATCAAAATTTTGGTGATTCTAATTCATTGTAATTAGAACTACAGAGTTTAAAAACGTTTGGACTTGAGTTAGAATTTTTATGTTCTAACATTTTGTAAAGAATAAGGGGTCTGGCCCCATGCTCGCAAAATCTCCTTAAGTGCACACTTATTTAAGAATAAGGAACTTGGTCCCATATCACAAACATTGTTAACCTGTGATAATTCAGATTTAAAATTACAATTGCCATAACTTATATTTCTTAAGCTGTTAGAAAATAAATTATACATATTTAAGATACATCTGTATCTGCTTTGAAATCTCTTGTGTTTCAATAATTTTATTGCGAGCAAATAAACTGTGTGTGGCTGTGTGCACACATGCTGTGGAGAAATCCACGAAAAAGGGGTCAATAACGTTTTGTTTTTTTTTAAAAAAAGATTCTTTTGATACTGTTCATATTCATAGTTTCCTACATAAATACTATTCTAACATTTAAATGTTTCCAATACATTACAATACATGGAGAAGCATACTTGTATTTGTAAAACACATGATTGTCTAAAAAAACAACAAAAACATGCAAACAAAATTTAATTTTTCTACCTTGACTGGTTTTCATTTATAGTGCTAAGGAAGAATTGATGACAAATGTCTCAATAGGAAACATACAAATGAGAGGGTGTGGGGTGGTTCCCTGTACTGGTCTGAAAATAAAACCTGATCATCGTCGCATTAAAACAAATATGCTTATGTTTCCTTTGTCTCTGCAAAATGGTTTTTGCTTAACCACACAAGGTTTTCTCCAAAATGTTAAAATATCTGTAAAAGAAACTAAATATTGCAGTAATGACCTGACAGTCGAATCATGTAATGAACATTAGGACACAAATATGCCAACAATATTTCATTCATCTATGTTGAATAGTTTTATATACAATAATGCAAACAATCATGTCGGTAGGATCTACATGTCCAAAAACCTCTGATCAATAGGGGCAGAAAGGCATTTATCTTTCACAATATATACCTCATGTGGAAGTTGGTTGGTTCATCAGTACGTGTTTAACATCATTTCTCAGCATCAGTATAGGTTTAAAGCCATTTTTTTGCATCAGTATGGGTTTGACACCATTTTTCAGCATATAATAGGCTATGACACCATTTTTCAGCACATGATAGGCTATGATACCATTTTTCAGCATATGATAGACTATGACACCATTTTTCAGCACATGATAGGCTATGATACCATTTTTCAGCATATGATAGACTATGACACCATTTTTCAGCATACGATAGGCTATACATGATGGTCAGTATATATGGTAGGGGAAAAAACGGGAAAAAACCCAGGAAAAACCACTGACAAATGGGATCTTGTGGAGGCAATGACACCAACTTTAATGCTCTGTTTGACATCACATGAGTTTGCAGACAACAGTAATGAAATACATTCAAAAGAATGCAACAGATGTGAGAAAATGAAATTTTATATTAGAATAAATAATAATGATTTGAAAAGGCAAATAATTGTTCTAATGTTGCAATTTATTACATTAAAAAATGCAACAGTGAAAAGAAGTATTTATCCAATGAAGCAACTTTTTTCATGCCATTATTTTGTAAATCACCTGATTATCATCATTTCCGTTTCATCTATTGGAGTTCTGAACACAC